GGCTCCAGCAAAGCTCTGAGTTGGGAGTGGAAAGAAGATTAAGACTCTATAATCCTCCCCATCTACTTCAATGAGATAGAGTGGACATGCAAAACTGTTGGACAGCAAACAGACTGGGATTTTATCCAGACAGCAATTCTATATGCAGACCCAATCCAGGCAAATTTATGGCAGAAATCATCTGAAGCCATGCCAGCTAATGTGGCCATGGCAAATTGGGCTTCTTTTAAAACCCAAATATATGAGTTCTACCCAAAGTCCAATGAGATCTGCTGCTACACACCCACTTACCTAGAAGAAGTTGTTAGAATGCTAAGGGTTTCACCTATAATATTCTTAAATGAATTTGGCTCACTTGGTGATATGGGTGGAGAGTTACCTCACTGCATATGTTAGAAAAAAGTTCTTATGAAGTGATAACACACCTACCTTACCCTTGGCTTTGTGATTTGGATGGAACAGTACTCATGGATCTGGTAGCTGCTTTCTACTGCATCCTTTATCACCCATGTGACTGTATCTCTATTCCCAACCTAGTGGATATCATTGACCAACTGCTCACACAGATAGAAGCTTTGGAAAAAACTACAATGTCTTATGATGATTTGGAACAGGAATAAGTAGACCTGACACTATTTCAATGGATCTTTTCTGCTCTTTTGAATTCTTTTCTTTTCTTACTTCACTTGACTTCTACAAGTTTTGAATCTCTTACCTTTAGCTTAAGTTTGGTGGTGTGAGTGTAGGCGAGTGCAATGTAAGTGTCTGGAAGGACTCTTCTAATCCAGTCACCCTCAGCCAACAGAGCTTCATTTGTAAAGTGAGCTCAAGAGACTGTAAACATGGGCAAGTAGCACTCTTCCAATCCAGTCACCCCTGATAGAGAGCCAATAGAGCTCCTCAAGTCTGGCATTGAGGTTTGATAAGTGGCTACAAATATGGGTGAGTGCAGTTTAGTGGGGCTTTCAGTGCAAGGAATTTTGAGACAGTGTGTCAGTAGTGCAGTGAGTGAAGTGACCAATGCCAAGCCTGGTACCTCTTACAAGGCTTCTACCTCATGCAGGATCTCAAACGCAGTATGCAATTGTCACATCATGAATTCTGACTGTCAACTTCAACTCAACCCATTTCTTTCTCAGTGATTCTCCTCTCCCTTCCTGTTGGCCTTGCTCACACTATGTATGCATGCTCTTGTTATGGAGGAGACCTTTGGTTTATGCAAGAGAAGAGCTGGTAAACTGGGTAGAAGAGTCAGAGTGGAAAGAGAGGCACTGACTTGGTATACACCATCAGATGTGGTATGGAGGCTCATCTTGGTATCACCTGTGATGACGGAGCCAGAACATGTTTCTACCAGCACTATCAGTACCACCTGCACTCACAGATCACTCACTCAGCTGTTTCCTCCATTGTTTGATTCTCATCTGTCCATGCAAGTTATTGTGTTGTAAAGACAAAAAAGCATGAGTTGATAGCATTTTGGAACTATAGCAGTGTATGAATTAATATGGATTTGTTACTCACACGAGACCTCAATCCCCTACTCAAGCACAAGTTTCTCACTTAGTAAGACTATTATGGATCTTGGTATCACCTGCAATGATGGAACTAGAGTCTGAACATATCCCTATGAGCATTATCAGTGCCAGCTCCACCTGCACTCACTAGATGACAGCTTGTTGCACCTACTCACATTTACAGTCTCTTGAGCTTGCTTTGTGAACCTCAATGCCAGACCTGAGAAGCTCTGTTAGCTGAGAGTGACTAGTTCTTCCAGATGCTTGCCATCAGCATTGCACTCATCTACACTCATACCACTGTTGTGCTTGTCCATGTTTGCAGTCCCCAATGCTCATTTTAGCATGCACAGATTTCTGTGCATGGGTTTGTCTGCTCATTAGTCATGGAAGCTGATATCAGAACTGTGGAGTTAGATTGATGCTTGGACTCTGTTCACTGTAACAATCATGTACCTGTTCTCATCTCACCCTCATTGAGTCTGTGTAGTAAATGCCTTGACTTGTCTAATGTTCACTATCCCAGGGAAGATTGTGAAGCAAGGTCAATAGAATTCAGATTGACACATGCCTGCTGCAACAACACCTGGAATGCAAGTGGGTTCTAAAGACTAGTCAAGGTGTTAGGGTTCAAGGAGACATTTCTATGATTATGTAAAACTTATGTTGTCTTGCATTTTGCCTGGTGTGACCACATTGTTCCACAACATGTGTTTAACTCACTCAATAACCAGGCTAGTAAACCTGTGGCAAGTTCATCCTCCTTATACACAGGCTTCTCATTGTTTTTCTTTTCAGTTATCCCCAATCCAAAATCATTAATCTTGAAGAGGACACTCATCACATCATTCAGTTTTCTGTTGAAGACATTATCCTGCAGTGAACCAAGACAGAGGATCCAGATTCTATTAATATTGACCCTGCTCTGCAACACATTCTAGAAGAATGGGGGGAAAACAGACTATTAGAACAGAAATGTAACAATGTGGAGCTACCTGTTAAAAACCACAGTTATGAAGTCATTCTGTGCACTATTTTGTTCTTGTATTTTTGGGAAAAAACTGACATTGAGATATTACAGCTTATCATCTGCCTCAGGTTGTCTTATCATTTTTTACTCTAGAGTGATTCCTTAGCTAGTCAACTCAATGGAAGAATTTGTCAAAGAAATGAAAGTCTTTATTTCAAATTCTCAGCCATTTATCGATGCAGATGCAATGAAAAATATCCATGATGGACACTGATTCTGCATTGCTGGCCATGACTGTCAAAAACATCTTCAGAATTTCTAGGTATTACTGACTGCTTTCTACAGTGTATCTTCTATATAATAGAAGTCTATGGGATTGCACCTTTAGTTTATATTGGTATTTTTGTTTGAATATGTGGAGAGAGAACATCCCTTATGTTTTCTGTGACCCTCATGTGGACAAGAATAATCTTGCTTGCAGAATCTATGCCCTTTTTATATTTGGTTTGGCTTTTTCAATCCTCTCACTCTAGTTCTAAAACATCTTTACAGGAAAATTTAACTCACAAGAGAAATGCTGGCTTGTCATATGGAAAGTGAGTCTTATTATTGAAATACCTCCTGGAGTAATTCTATTGTATTTGTCCTCTCTCTTTTACTACTTCAACATGAATATGAAAGATGAGAACCCAATATCTGATCTCTGTTCTTCTCTAATTATTTAACATTCAGATCTAGAGGTGGTAATGACTTTGAATAGTGAAGATTCTACACAAAAGAATCAATGAGATAATGGCAAAGAATGGGGATCCTGTGTATGGTTCAATCAGGTCACAAGATTTCTGTCACAAATTCACCCCTATTTTTTGCTTTAGTCATTTGCTTCATGTCATTCTTTCTCGATCGTCATCTTATTCTCATCATCACTTTCATCTGGCTCATCTGTAACCCGTGCTGATACTCCTGCATCACACAATAACTTCCATCATGATATCTTTGCTCCAATCAATCAACAGTCGCTTCCGCATCACTTGATCCCTGGTTCACAGTGGACGAGCTCAGACATTCTTACTCAGGTGGAGTCTCAGCCACAAGGGCATGGTTCCCCCAGAGTCTTCCTCATCTAGCTGGCCACTTACCATTGGGTAGTTTTTGTGCTGGTGTATTGCTATTGGCCATGTCACACTCATTCTCTATTATGAAATCATAGTAGTACAGTTATTATTAATGCATCAAACTTGTATTTAAGTAGTAGCCTGTGCTGTGGTTAAACCTCAGCTTTGGCTAAAGTCATATACTCCCAACTTTTACCTGAACTCCAAGTTCCATGACTAATTCAGTCCTGACTACTTAACTCGGTCTGCATTGCTACCTTTGTTTCACTTCACCGCAGTGTGAGTGATGAACTAAGGCTTGACCTTGCTGATCCAAGTTGGTGCTTGACACTTAGCCAAAGCTTGCCTTAATACCCTTATTGTTGTTGCATAATGATAACCATATGAACCTGCCCAATCACGAATCCCTTACTTTTGCTGCTGCCATTGCATCAGCCACCCTTTTATACACATATGCCCTACTTCAAATCCTTCACCAAAGAGCACCGACCCCCAATCTAGAGAGAGTAAATGGGCTCAATGGCTCACCAAGAAACAGACCCAGACCAGACATCCCTCTGCTTGAGCATCAAAACCATAGGCTTCGAACCCTATTCTCCAATGAAGATATCGCTCCAACAGTCGACCATTTTCCTCCAGACCAAATGGAAGGGAGCGGCCACCAAGGTGGCACACACCTCTATCAGCAAGGAACTCAAGGGTTGTACATCAACCTGGTTGCCAGAAGAATCATCCCAGATGGAGGCGATGAGATATGCTGTCATGAATCACCCCTATTTTTTGCCTTATCTTATCTTATCGCATCAACTCATCATTCGACTCTCGTCATCATTCCTCGTACCTGATCTGCATCATTCATGACCTGATTGATCACACGCATGATCCACCGCTCACATGTATGATCCATTTGATGGCCCATAGATCCAATCACACAACTATGAGCCCAACCCTCCTGTACCTAGTCATGCTTCTTTAGGTCGACTCTGATCACATCCTAGGATGGATAAGCCACCACGTATGCTCGTCCAAGGATAGCACCATTCCTCTGACTCGCAGATATGCTTCTACCATATCAAGTGCCATACGACCAGAAGATAGCGATGCATTAGGATACTATACACCGAGATGTGAGAGCGGTATATACTAGTAAATACTGCAATGTATTTAAACAAGCCTCACTGTGGTCTTACACCCCAGCTTCAGCTAAAGTTATACACTCCTAACTTTTCACGCAGAAACTCACTGCTTCCAAGATTAAGGACTATCGTTTCTAACCTAGCGATTGCAACGCCCTCTTCACAACTGAATCACTGAATGCGAGTGACAGTTTAGAGGCAAACATTGTTCAATCCAAGTTAGTGTGTTACATATGCCTTGTTAATTTAACAACAGGAGAAGATGTCACAGAGGAGTACTTCTGACCAAACTGTGAGCAGTATGTGGGAAGTGGAAGTGATGAGGAAAGTGGTAGAAGAGGCCCTTTCTCCTTTGCAGACCTCCACCCTGGAAACCCAATATTCATGGAAGGATACTGGACAGACGATACAGGATCCTGGGATGAGGAGGACCAGGGAGACAATGGAAGTTCAAGCAGGGACAGCCCTTCAGATGGAGGGGACCTCTCCCTCCCTACCCAGGGACAGAGATTGGCTAGAGAGGTTAGAACAGATGCTGCAAGACAAGAAGCAGCAAGAAACATGGAGAACAAGTCAGATGGTTTTTGGATTACCACCCCAACCTCTCCAAACGATATTTCAGTCATCCCCAACCTCAGAGTCACAGTACCAGGAACCCCGACCAGTTCCTCTGGAAGCACCATATCCTGGCACTCTCGAGGGGGAACCTGCAGAATCCTCAGACTCAACACTCCACCATGCCTTACTTTACTGTATCCAAGAGTTGGAGAACTTGGCATCAGTTGGAATGACAATCCACTCCTTGATCCCCAAATTCAAACCCCTCCTGGTTGGTCATCACACTGGTCCCCTCCCAGTAGAGAAGACCAATGTTATGCCCCAGCCACTCTTGATGTTAGAGACTTACTCAGAAGAACAATGGGGGGTTCCCTTTCTGAAACAACAGCAGTTGACACAACCTCCTCAATTGGGGGGCAATCGACACCATCACTACAATCAATGATGCTACCACCAACAATTCTGAGTCTGAGGACCCAGATGATGACCCAGAAACAAAACACCTTCCACAGATGGGAGACGTAACCCTAACACCCCAGTCAAAATCCTTTTTTGCTGGGTTTTCTTCTCAAGTAGTACCTCCAACAGGTACCAAATCCTTAAGTGGTTTGAAGGAAACCAATCCCTTCAAAACGAGGTCAATCAAGGCCCTGTCCCACCAGAGCTCAATACAGCACATCCTGGCAAACCCTACTGTGGGTACACCATCTGTCGACGATTTTGGGAAGTCACCAGAAATTGAATTGGGCCCCTACTGGAGCTCGAGCCCTATATCTCTCTCTACTATGAGCGCATCTTCCATCAAGGAGATTACCTTGACTGACTGGACTTCTGGGTCCGAGCTATACTCAAAACCAAACAAGCCAGCCAAAGAGACTATGACGACGAGCCACCCTTTGATGAGGGGACAGGCAAGTTTGTCTAGGGATCCAGCACTAGGCCTAATGACAGAAGAAATCTATAACTTAAACTGGAACCAGATGTGATACTGGACCAAGGCCCACCTTCCCTACGAAATATCATGGACCACATTGAACCAAGAGAGGGCATACCAACATGCCTCCACAGGCTCTCAGTTAGAAAGGATTATACTGTCCACTGAAACCCAACATGCAGTGATTAAATATTGGAATGATATACACTCTGACCAACAATTGGAACCAGCCACATGTTACCAGATCCCCATCTCTTCTCCCACATCCTCTGGAAGCATGGTACCACCCGTACATGATTCTCACTACATACCCTCAATGGCTCTCAGACTATTTGCTGGAGGACAAGGCTTGGAACAACACCTACACAGTATGACCATGGAGACTGCTAATAATGGAAAAGGACCGATCCCACTGGATGGCAGAGATGGTGGTGGACCCAGTGGACCAAGCAGAGGAGGAGGCAGAGGAGGAGTGCCTCTGCCACCCCCTCCCACAGGATCACCATCACTGGAAAATGATCGAAATCTTCGATCACTTCCTTGCCCTGAAAATCTGCCACTCCCACCTGATCTGTCAGATGGCTGGGCAATCACTGATGGACAGCCCAACCCCTGGAATAATGTCAAGCCTGTACTTATTGAAAAGCCAGATCACTTTTATGGAAAGGCTGATGACGTCGATAGATTCTTCATCCACTGCAAATATCACTTCGAGGCCCATGCCCAATATTTCGCCCTTAATGAGGCCTGGGGATATGGTCCTAGTTGAGTAGTATTTGCCATATCCTTTTTCAAAGGACAAGCCATGCAATGGTGGGTAGACCAATAACACAAGTATAAGGACACGGTGATGGGACAATATCGTGTCCCAATCTGGGAAGCCTTCGAACGAGCATTATGTGATCAATTCTAAGAGGTCACCAAAATTAAGATCTGGTGGGCTGAATGGAAGAAACTAAGGCAGACACAATTCCAGTCAGCCATTGCGTTGTTCAACAAATTCGAGGAACTAGTGATAAAGGCCAAATGTTTCAACAACGAGGACCAAATGAAGGAGGTAGTCAAACTCGCCATATGCCCCAACATAAAGAAGCAAATCATGGGAAGTGACAATTATCATCCACAAGGCACCTGTAGCTGCTACTTTGATGCATCAAACACTGTTAGTTGACAGTTAATTGTGATACATCAGGAGTGTCAGTTTACATCCAGCCCATATACAGTAATTCCATCAGGATAACAAAGTGGCTTAGTAAGCTTCCCAATCTGTGTCAATGATGGCATCATTAGATGAGAAGGCAATTTCAGGAATTGAACCTGGGACCTCAAAAATAAATCCAATAATATCACATGATCTTTTCAAGCAGGCAGGCTAACCACTACATCATACTGGCATTATATATATGTCTTTTCATCTCTATATATACTCTCCCTCCCTTAACATTTATGACCTCATATTGATGCCCTCCCTTTGCTCCGCTCTGGTGCGCTCTTTTGCCTTTTTAGGCTCCCCAAATCAGCCCATCAATTTTGGCTGGATCCAGTGGCAGTGCCGCATTTTTAATACCCAAAATAGGGGCTATTTTCCGGTCAAAATAGCTATTGGGCTATTCTCAGGCTACTGGCTGGGCCAGGGGATAGCACTATAATCTGTATAGACATAAACAACATAAAATAGAGCCCTCTAATGATGCATAGGAGCCCTGGATAGTGGGATAAAAGGGTAATATAATGAAAATCGCATAAATATTCGCTTTTGGGGGCTGCTGCATGCATTGGATCGGCTGGAGGACTTCACCAATCAATTCCCTGACCTTGAAAACACCCAAACAACCCCTCCACAGTACTTTTGGCACACTTCATTCCTGGAGATAAACGAAAATATTCGCTTTTTAGGGTGCAGCATGCTCCAGATCGCTTTGAAAACATTACCAGTCGATTCCTATGCTATAAAAACCCTAGAATACATCCTCCTTCGTAATATAGGTCCAGTATAATACAGTATAAAAGGGGGTATTAGGGGGCATACATCGCTTATTTTGTTTTTCGCACTTCGGATGGCTTGGAGAGCATCACCAATGGATTCCCTGATATTAAAAACCCCAAAACGACTCCAGCCTTTATTTATAGGGTCTCAAAAACGACAGAAATAATGATATTACAGTTTGGGAGGAGCACATGTAATAAATCCTATTTCTGGACTTCAGACCACTTCGGAGTTTTGTCTATTGTGTTTATTGACCTAAATAACACTCAAATGACCCCACAGGACAAAGGAAACCATCAGAAATACATGTGATAAAAAGAGTAATAGGGGGATGGAGGAGACATACCTTATATTTCGCATTTCTAATAGTTAGGGAGGGTATTCTTGTTATATAACAGACTATATATATTGTACAATGGTGTGTATGAAGCCCCATGGATATCCGAAATGTATTGAATGAGATATGAGCAGATCATTCTGTAAAACAGGAGGAGCACATCCCATATTTCGATGTTCTGCTCATTCTATGGCCTGGGGATCATCGGATTCGGATTCCTTGACCCAAAAAACAGTAGGGCCACCTATCATCCATAGGAGCCATTTTACCCAGCTAACACATACAGCCATATGTAGCTACAGGACAATATAAGTGACAAATGAGAGAACATCTTGTACTTCGGAGTTTGAACATCTGAATACCATGGATGATAGGTGGCCCTACTGTTTTTTGGGTCAAGGAATCCGAATCCGATGATCCCCAGGCCATAGAATGAGCAGAACATCGAAATATGGGATGTGCTCCTCCTGTTTTACAGAATGATCTGCTCATATCTCATTCAATACATTTCGGATATCCATGGGGCTTCATACACACCATTGTACAATATATATAGTCTGTTATATAACAAGAATACCCTCCCTAACTATTAGAAATGCGAAATATAAGGTATGTCTCCTCCATCCCCCTATTACTCTTTTTATCACATATTTCTGATGGTTTCCTTTCTCCTGTGGGGTCATTTGAGTGTTATTTAGGTCAATAAACACAATAGACAAAACTCCGAAGTGGTCTGAAGTCCAGAAATAGGATTTATTACATGTGCTCCTCCCAAACTGTAATATCATTATTTCTGTCGTTTTTGAGACCCTATAAATAAAGGCTGGAGTCGTTTTGGGGTTTTTAATATCAGGGAATCCATTGGTGATGCTCTCCAAGCCATCCGAAGTGCGAAAAACAAAATAAGCGATGTATGCCCCCTAATACCCCCTTTTATACTGTATTATACTGGACCTATATTACGAAGGAGGATGTATTCTAGGGTTTTTATAGCATAGGAATCGACTGGTAATGTTTTCAAAGCGATCTGGAGCATGCTGCACCCTAAAAAGCGAATATTTTCGTTTATCTCCAGGAATGAAGTGTGCCAAAAGTACTGTGGAGGGGTTGTTTGGGTGTTTTCAAGGTCAGGGAATTGATTGGTGAAGTCCTCCAGCCGATCCAATGCATGCAGCAGCCCCCAAAAGCGAATATTTATGCGATTTTCATTATATTACCCTTTTATCCCACTATCCAGGGCTCCTATGCATCATTAGAGGGCTCTATTTTATGTTGTTTATGTCTATACAGATTATAGTGCTATCCCCTGGCCCAGCCAGTAGCCTGAGAATAGCCCAATAGCTATTTTGACCGGAAAATAGCCCCTATTTTGGGTATTAAAAATGCGGCACTGCCACTGGATCCAGCCAAAATTGATGGGCTGATTTGGGGAGCCTAAAAAGGCAAAAGAGCGCACCAGAGCGGAGCAAAGGGAGGGCATCAATATGAGGTCATAAATGTTAAGGGAGGGAGAGTATATATAGAGATGAAAAGACATATATATAATGCCAGTATGATGTAGTGGTTAGCCTGCCTGCTTGAAAAGATCATGTGATATTATTGGATTTATTTTTGAGGTCCCAGGTTCAATTCCTGAAATTGCCTTCTCATCTAATGATGCCATCATTGACACAGATTGGGAAGCTTACTAAGCCACTTTGTTATCCTGATGGAATTACTGTATATGGGCTGGATGTAAACTGACACTCCTGATGTATCACAATTAACTGTCAACTAACAGTGTTTGATGCATCAAAGTAGCAGCTATAGGTGCTTCTTCCCGAAGGGATTCTTTGCCTTCACTGTCTCGGTGATCCTCGCCCTGAAGCTCAAGCGTGGAGGCTCACTCTTCTCTGTCAGGTAAGGGGTGTCAAAGTGTGTCTCACTCCCTCCTTGGCTGTGGTGTGAGGGACCGGAGCTAGATGGTGCTTGTTGTTTGTGGGGTTCCTGTTGATGAGCCATTGAGTTCATGTACTCTTCCTCTTTTGGGGGTCAGTGCTCTTTGGTGTCAGGTTGGTCGGAGGATATGGAGAACTGCGACTGCAGTTACTAGTGTCAAGATACTAAAGGTACTTCCAAAGATAATGGTGGTGTGGTCTGAGGGGGTGAGCGGCATAAAGTTTGCTGTACCACAACGAATGTTTATGATCTCGAGGTATGATGGGTGCCATTTTAAATAACGGGCTGAAGATTTCTTTTCTTTGGAAGTATAACAGTGACTGCCTTGAAGCGGTACAGTTATCGTTATCAATGGTAAGGATAGTAAGGACAAGCTTCGGCTAATTGTTAAGCACTAACTCTAATCTGAACCAAGGCTGGTCTCTATCCTGTCACTCGCATTCGGTGATTCAGTGTTAGAGAGGTGTTGGTAGATTGCGAGAAGTTAGGCATCACTTATAGTGAAAGCGAGGAGCTTGTAAGAGTTAGGAGTATATAACCTTAGCCAAAGCTGGGGTCTAAGACCACAGTGTAGGCTAGCTTAAATACATGTTAGACTCGTACTAAGAATAGTATCTACAAGGGTGCGTGCAACAAGAAGTGTGTCTTTCAACGAATGAGGAGGGAGGACACTAAAAGAAGTGTACTCCCGACAAATGAGAGTAAAGAGTGCATATCACCTGCATCTGTGTGGGACTCCATCTGAATAGGCTGCATCCTGTAGACTGCCCTCAACTGGTGGTCGACTCTTGTCCAACTACTAAGAAGCATGATGGCGCATGCAGGTCGTTGGTCACCTGGGGGTGGCAGCTGTGAATTGGGGTGACGGCAACTGGGTAAATGGGTAAGGAGTGTGCTGGTGGAATATCATGGGTCTGGGAGATAAGATAGGCAGGTCCGGGGTTCTGAGAGATAAGAATAAGATAAGATAAGGAAAATAGGAGTAAAGTCATAATACTCTTCTGAGACAGTGTTCAGGAGGAAGGTCACATCTGGAAAGGATTGGTTTCCAGCAAACCACTCAAAAATTCTCCACTGTCCTTCAGCATCTGGGAGGAAGATGACCCACTATATAGGCTCAACCCAGAGTGGAGAGTCAGCATGGGTGTAGTACTCATAGAGCTTTCTGCTGTCAGAAGAGTCTCTCTCCTGGTTAATTGCATTGGGGTAGTTGTCTGAGGTGAAAGTTAGGTGCTGGAGCTCCAATGAAGGCTTCACAAACTGTCTGAGGTCTGCAATGGTAAAGATGTCTCTTGGGAGAATGTCAGATTCAGGTCTAGCCAGCTTGGGAGGCTGGTCAACATCATCATTCCAGCCTGGTATTGCCTCTCCATATCTTGGGTATGGCAAAGGAACATGTGGAATGCATGGTGGAGTGTCAACTCCCCAGACTCAGCAGGTTCTATGGAGAGAGTATCAGGATGTGGGAGTGTATGAGGTGAGGGCTGGGGTTCCTGAGAAGCTAGTCGGGGAGGTTAGTGCAGTGTACCAAAGAGTCTTTGATTCATCTCCTCAGTGTCTTCCTGCCTCTTTCTCTGCAGGAAGTCATCCATCTCCTCCTCCTATGACTTGCCCTCAGATTCCAATGAAAAACTCATTGGTAACATCGACTCAGCTGGTTGAGTTGATGAAACATACATTGTCTCCTCCATTGATCATGATTCTTCCACAGACAGTGTCTATATAGAATCTTCAGGTTCCTCTCTGATAGAGTCACTCTCCATCTGAGTCATAGCCTAGTATGGCAGCTGATAACTTAGTGAAAGTGACTGAGTGCTCTGCAACACTCTCAGCATCATCAGACAGGATATGGAGGCAACCAAGGTCTTCTTCCCTCAGGAAATCACCTTCTCCATTGCTTGGCTGAGCTTCTCTTGTGGGAATAGGGTGGACTGATGTGGGAAGGTCTTTGTCAGTGGGTATGGGAGTTCAAAATCTTGTTCTGTTGTTGGGCTCTGACATACAGTGTCAGAACCTGATAGTGCTGCTTGTTCAGGAGCTTCCTGTTGATGAGCCATTGAGCCCATTTACTTGCCCTCTTCTGGGGGTCAGTACTCTTTGGCATTGTTAGGGTCAGGTGTAGTGAACAGCGATAGCTCCTAATAGGAGTATTAGAGAGCCAAAGGTACAACCAAATATGAGGGTATTTCAGTCTGAAGAGTTTATATGATCACTGTCATTGAATAATAATAAGAATATTCAAAGGCAAGCTTTAGCTAATTGTAATGCATCAACTTGATCAGTAAGGCATGATCTCTATCTGTCACTCACATTTGGTGAATCAGAGTAAGAGAAGCATTGCAGACCATTGTTTAAGTGACATAGACTTCTTAGTCCACAAGCAGAGAGCTTGAGTAAGAGTTGGGAGTGTATAACCTTAGCTGAAGCTGGGACTTAAGACCACAGCTGAGGCTAGCTTAAATACATGTAGGCTCTACCTAATAATAGTATACTGTTCATGATTCTCATGTAGAGAAGTATGGTCTTCAATGAATGAGTGTAAAGAGTGCATAGGGCTGGAGTGCTGAGCAGCTCCAGAGTGAAGGAATGTATGTTGGTCGTGGAATTACATCATGATCAGAACCCCATAAAAGTGATGTGAGTGATGGTGAATAGGGGTTCCAGAATAACCTAGTACCAGATGCTGGGAGATAAGATAAGATAAAGCAAAAAATAGGGGTAAAACCATGGCAGCGATTGACAGAAATGAAAAAGAAGGCTAGAAAAGTGGTGAGGGAGAGAAAGATAGCAGATGTGAAGGCTAAGAAGGAGGAGCAGGAGCAGGAAGCCATAGAGAGGAAACAGCAAAAGAAAGAGGCAGAGGCAGAGGCAAAACAATTGGAAGAAGAGAGAAAGGCTGTGGAGAGAGATGAAGAGAATGAGAGATTATTGGAGGAAGCAAGATTAGCTGTGGAGTCTAAGAAGGAGACTAAGAGTGGGACCAAAGAAGATGACAAGGAGGAGAAAGAGGAAGAGGACCCTAAGGCTGCAGTGATGAAGCAGTTGGTGGAGAAGAGAAAGGATCTGAAGGGTAAGAGTAGAGCAGTAGATTTGGCACTCACAGAGACTTCGAGGAAGTGAAGGCTGAAGTCAAGCAAGATTGTGGTGACAAGTGGTAATGAGAAGGTAGCAGGACCATTGCAAAGGCCCATGAAAAAGTTGAAGATGGAGCCTGAGATGCAGACAGATGATTAGAAATATAAGGACAATGGTATGTGTTCCTATGAATTCTGAATCTGTTGCTGACTTGTAGTTGTATAGAGTGTTGTGGATGTTGCAAAATTGATGATGTCAAGTGTTTTGTTAGGAGTGGCCATACTTGTGAGTGCTGCAAGTTAAAGAAAATGAAGTGTACATTCAATCAAGGCAAAGGATCAGGTTCCACAGGGTTCCGTGAGGTCTTAGACCTCTTGTATAAGATTTACAAGAAGATGGAGGAGTTTGAGGAGAGTCTGGAGAGGGTAGAGGGAAAGGTGGACCTTCTTGAAAGTCATGTCAATGATTTGGTTGATGATTTTTATTCTGATAATGAACCAGAGTACCCATGGAATTTCTTCCCTGAGGAGTACCAGCAAGAAATCCAGTCTTCCAAGATTAAGCTTGAGAAGCTGAAGAACATCAACACAGAGGCCCTACAGAAAGCTATGCAGATGCAACTTGACAAGAACATTGCTCATGTGTGGCATGCCCACATTATGGGGCCTGATATGGGGGGCAGATGGTGTAGTGGTTACCTCTGCTTGCTCGATTGTACCTCGTTCCACACAGAAAATATTTATTTTCGCACTCGCGAGTTCGAGCCCCCCACCCCCCCAGAAAGTAACACTCTAGACACTTTCCGGGTTCTACCACTTCCGATATCCGAATCACGTGAAATGCAGCCTCCCTTTCTAAAACATGATCAAGTCACGCACATTACCCCCTCTAAAATCACACGACAAATCTTATCTCTCCTTGCCATTCTGGGCATCGGTTCGAGACCCTTCCAGTGATCTTTCGAATAAGACAGGGAAACGGAGTCGCGTGCCGCAAGGCTGCCGCCTGGTTGGGACCCAGGTGTAACAAAATGGAGTGGTGATCCAAGCACACCCCGGCCTGGCACATCACCCCCGCATCAATTGATCACACTGTGTTGGTGATCTTGGCCGAGTAAGGCAGGTCTGGGAAAGAGAGACCGGAGAAGGACTGGGATTGATGGAGTTTGATGGGAAGTAGGACTAGGCCATGAGAAGGGTCTGGTGAAGAAACGATGGTGACGGATAGATTGCGGCCATTTCTCGGCAGAGGTCAGGATTTCCCAAAGTGGGAAAAGGTGGCAGTGCCCGAGTCGCACCAAGTTATCGAGGGCGAGGGATAATTTCGTGCCATAACATAAGTGCACAGCTTGTTAAGCTGACTTAATCGATGACATCATACACACAGTAACACAAGTAGCTAAATTGGACCATACGCATGCATAACCAATATACTTAGGATTTAAAAAAAAAAAAAAAAAAAAAATGGGGCCTGATACATTTGATGGTAGTGACCTCTTCAAGTTGGCCAACATAGTATTCTGGCATAGGTATTATGAGGAGGATGGTCTGAAAAAAGCTTTGGAGGCTAGGGAGAGATTCTTGGATATGAGGTGAAGGTATTATGAGTGCAGAGACTGTGTTAGGATTATGCCAATAGGAATGCAGCAGAGATTGCACATAGCAGAAAGCTGCAGAAAGCATCAGGCATAGGCAAAGCTATTAGCAATGTCACCTCTAAGCCAAAGCCCTAAGATGAATACAGATGGAAGTCCACAGAGTGACAGAGATGAGGTAAGAGATAAGTCCAATAGATTGGAGTTCCATAGACTGGAGAATGAGTTTTGACTTAAAGTTGGAGAGAGAGATTGAGCTGAACCAAGTTGATATTCAAACTTGTTAGCTGGTGTGGTGCTTATTTGATGGACATTGGATTTATGCATTCATGTCATGTCAAGATCACATGTGTACCACATGATCTCTCTGAACTTATATATACTATATATTGTCTTCTTTCCTCCTCAGTCACTACTTCACTATCCATGCACTGAGAAGGTATGTTCATTTCTTTCTATATCTTGTATTGCCTTTCTCACTTATCTCTATACTATAGTCTGATGTTCATCATATCAGTACAGGTATAAAATACAATCACTACTTCACTATCCATGCACTGAGGAGTCTGACATTCATTGTATCAGTACAGGTACCTCTAGCTAACAGAACTGAGTATCTACAGTGTAGTTCTAAGGCTTATATACTAGTTAGGAGTCTGATCTGGTTTCTACTTGGAGTGGTCTACATTCTAGAGTGGTCAGTAGTTGTAGTCTACTGATCAGTAGCCAATGGAGTCTGATGACATACTCACTACTGATGTTGGGCTATTGATAAATTAAAATGGAGAGGTGAAATATAAAATAGAATATGAAATAGAAACTGAGAATCAGAATTCATAGGATTCTATAATGCAGTTTGTTGGAATTAGGTGTGGAGTCAGAGTTCCATTGGCATATACGTTACAGTATCCCCTCTTAGTGTTTTTACCCTCAAGAATACAAATCCCAATGACCAAGCATGTCCACATGAAGTTCTGCAGGGTGATCACATGCAAATTCACCTCTTAACTAGTAACCACCAACATCTCCCCTCATTTCTAAACTTCATTTCTCATTGTTCATCATGTCATCAACTATTGAATACTGCCTTTCTGTAACCCCCAAGCTTTATGAGGCTCTCCCAATGCCAACTGACACCACTCCTGATGAGTTGGAGTATTTTTACAAACAATGAGACACTAATATTGAAGTGTACAATGAGACTATGGAGTGCTGGGATGAATACAAGGAGCAGCAACAGAAAAAGGCTAAGTTAGAAGCCATGGAATTGGCTAAGCAGGAGAGGAAGAGGGAAAGGGACTTGAAACTTAAGAAGGTGAAGGAAGTGGTGAAAGTGAAGGCAGAGGCCATCTTCTTACTAGACAGTTATCATTAGATCTCACTTCAGAGACATTAGCATTACTGGCTATCTCTTCCAAGCAAGATCATCTGAATTTGATAATAATGAGAGTTATTTTTCATCATTGCACAATAGCATTGCTTTATAAAAGAACAAAAGTACACATGTTACACTACAAAGCAATGCCAGTCTAGAAACTATCATAAACTGAGAATTGTGATTGATATTATTATAGTGAACTGAACTGAAAAAACAAAAAACACATCTACTTGGACTTTTTGACTGGGACAGGTTTGGTAGGTACCTTAAAAACCTCAGGCCTCAACTTGAAAGCTGGCTTTTTGGAGTCAGAAGGGGCATTGCTTTTAGACACTGTGGCAGAGGTGGTAGAAGCAGCAGAGAGGGGGCAAGTGCTGCAATTGCCACTCCTAGATGCAATAGGAGCAGATGATCTGCCAGATAATGCAGCAGAGAGAGGTTAGATAGATGTATGATGACTGGTGGTGGTAGGCATAGGCAGAGTGAAGATGTGAGGAATAGATGCTTCATCATTATCTGATGAGTTGCCCTTTATTTCCTTCCAAATCCAGTTGGTCTGAGCATCAGCATCCTCCCATGAGGTCTTTGCCTGCAATGGCAGACCTCCCTCAGTAGTGATAGCAGGAATGTTGTGTTCCTGTCAGTTTGCCAGGACATGATGAACTAGGCCATACAATGAAACCATATTTGCTGAGTCCAAGGATGTACTGTGTAATTTGTGCTTCACAGCAAGCAGATTGTAGATATTATCAACATGGTCAATAGAGTCAGGAAAGAATCCTTTAAAATGCATGAGAGACAGTCCAGTCAGCCAATTGTAGATCCAGCATTTGTTGTTTGATTTTTTGCATTGTTAGCATGGACTGGAGCTGATGAAGTTCAATCTGAAGTTCAAGAAGAGCAATGTGTGAAAAGGCTATTGTGCTGCCTGTGTGGTCACTTCAATGTAGCAAAAAGCATATGCAGGGGTAGGAAAGAGAAAGATATTTGAGAATAACTCACTTTCCTTCTATTAGATATAGCTTTAGGTGGCAATGCCTAAGTGGTAATACAAAAGAAACAAGTGTTGGGTTGACATACATTTGAAGATAGTACCTGGACTTGTGAATTGGAAGGAGACTTCTCATGTGAAGTGTCATGAATTCACTTCTATTTTTCACTTTAGTCATTTGCTTCATGTCATTCTTCCTTGATCATCATCTGATTCTCATCATCACTCCTATCTGGCTCATTCATAACCTGCTTGCTGATACTCCCACATCATATCATGCTTCTATCACTACATCATTGTTCTGATCATTAACAGTTGCTTCTATATCACTTGATCCCTGGTTTGCGGTAGATGAGCTCAGACATTCTTACTCAGATGGAATCCTGACCATAAGGACACTGTTCTTCCAGAACCTCGCTTGCCTCACTGGCCGTTCACCATTGGGCAGTCTTTTTATTGGTATATTGCCATTGGCTATGTCACACTAATTCTTTATCATGGAACCATAGTAGCATAGTTATTATTAACATACCAAAACTTGTATTTAAGCAAGCCTCAGCTGTGGGCTAAACCTCAGCTTCAGCTAAGGTTATACACTCCCAACTTTACTTGAACTCCAAGTTCCATGACTATCTAAGTCCCGACTACTTAACAATGATCCACATCGCTACCTTTGTTTCACTTCACCAAAGTGTGAGTGATGAACTAAGGACCGACCTTGTATATCCAAGTTGGTGCTTGACATAAAGGATTTTGACTTCTATTGAGATCAAAATCAAAAGACACACTGAGAGTGTGTTCAGCCTGAGGGGATACTTGTGCAGCAGGAGGGTGTTGAGACAGAGATCTAAATTAGGCAATAATAGAAGAGCTATGAGTACTCCTATCTTCTTCAGGTGTCTACAAGATATTCAGATAAAAGCTGGTAAGATTTAAAGAGTTCATGTACTCCAGACACCAAATTCTGCTCTGCTGAGTTGTATTCAATGCTGGCCTCTTGGTTTTTTAGCTCTAAAGTACTACATGCTTTGCTAGGACTATCTGAGTCTGGTGGTTATTCACATTTGGACTTGGTCAAGACTATTGGAGACAAGTGAGAGGAAGAAAGGCAGAGAGGCACAAAACATACTTGATCAGAGTTGTTTGAATTGCAATTTTGTGTTTTATCAAAATTTCAAATTCTGAAATCATACAAGCTAAGACAAGAGAGTAGAATCTCTGAGAAGATACTCATATTTCTCTATGTCAGGAAGATAATAATAGCACCTTTTGATGGGACAAAATAGCCTGTGGGTCCTGTAAAGCACAATGGCAATGATCTGACATATCAGCAAGCACTGATGAGGTTGCAGTGGGGCCAGATGAAGCTGTGTGCCAGTGAATGTTAAGGGAGGTGGCAGAGAGTGAGAAAACTTATCAGAGGCTTGTGGTATCAAAGATCTTTGCATAGCTTAAAAAATGTAAGTGATTTTTGTACAAATAATGAAAACACATACCAAATAAGACCATAAGCAGTCCTTTGCTAGGGGGTGGACATCTACAAGAGCTGACCATTAAGTTGAATCAAACATCATGCATGGAGAGAGACAGAGAGAAGAAAAGAAATACAGATATTAGCAGTGAGGAGAATGGGAAAAGATGAGACTATGACAATTACAAAGATAAACATTCACAAGAAGAAAAACATATGTATGTGTTCATATATAAATACCATTGAAATTGATGCTTTTACTACACCCTCTTTCTATCCCTATGGCTACTGCCCCTGGTCACCAAAACCATGCTGAATAATAAGAGTTTTTCTGCAATTTTCTGGCCAATGTCTCTGTTATGAAGATGTTGCTGGAGATGAGTGAGATTTCCAATGTGGTCTTGTTCTGGATACCTTCTACCTTTCAACATCAGCTCAAAGTGTACAACTGTATGATTGACTTTCATGAGGACACTGCTATGTGGCATCTTTATCAAGATTGCATTTTTAATTTAGACCATATAATAGATATGTGCTTCTCTTTCTTATTAGATGTATATTGACATGATTTTCAGATTAGATGATGATGTTTTTCACCAGTTGCATTATAGCATCACACTCTAGCAGCTACAAGAAAGGTGTTAGAATGAGTAGTATTTCTTTGTGCACCCTTTGCAATGATGTTCTTGGTCTAGTGAGTCTACCCTCTCCTTATTTTCATCATTGCTAACATAAACCACAGATTATAAACTTCTGTAAAGATGCAACCTAAGAGCTGACAAGCACCTGGACAGATCACTTAGAACAAGTGAGCTTTTTGTGTTTTGTTTTGGAGATTTTAGCTAACAGGATACAAAGCATTGTAAATATCTGATAGAAACATATGATCTCCCTAAGAGTGGATGCCCTAAACAATACTGGGATCCTGCTAAACTGTGCATACTAATAGAGAAATCATTTCATATACTGGCTAGTCCTCAATCAGAAATAACAATAAATCAGGTATGGATCTCTATTATACTTATCAACTTGTCTGATATAATTTAGATTCTTTGACATATTTTTCTCTAGACACTGATGCTGATGACTGGCTGTCATCCAGGATCCTTCTGCAGGAATAGTCATTATAAGAATAAACAGTTAAAGTTTTGATACGCCTGCCTGGCGTCTACCCTTGGAAAACATGTATAAATCTAATTTTATTATCCTACAAACTACGTTTGTAGTGGTGCGAGTAAGAAAGAACCTGCAAGGTACACAGCAAGAAGTGTTAGACCCCACTGCATCAGTAAGGACTTAGCCGTGACAAGCCTAAGGGCTCGGGCAACAGACCGGTGATCCGATGACTCAGCCCGAGTGACCGAAGGTCCAGGCAGGTCGAAAGCACATGGCTGCAGCCGAACTGGCATCTCGGCACTGATGGCCGCCTGATGGCATCGGTCTAAAAGTAAGAATAACAAAACAAAGAATAATCGCGTACAGCTTTACTTACCTGGCAGCTTTCCTAGTCTCTCAGGCAGATGGTTGGCTCGCCGGATAGATGAGAAACAAGAACTATAACACCAGGGGCTCTGCCTCAGTACAGGTAAAACTTAGTATTATGAGCCAGAACACCAGGTTGCAGCACAAGATCATGATCGGGTTCACCTGGGAGCCAGGATATGAGCTCATATCCACCCGGCTCAGTCAGCGAGCACAGTAATAATACCTGGAAAGATTGGAAATATAGATAGGGTAGAATAGTATAAATACTGTCCATGTAAACTAGCGGGAGGTCAGGTTTCTGGTCCCCAGAACGCTACCAAGCAAATTAGTATGGGTTTTGGTTAAGAGCTTTGAGTCCTAGACTCACCTGGAATAGTATTTAGTGACCTGGTCACGTTTTGTGTGCAAGAACCATTCAGAAAGCAGTCAGTTCAGGAAGATACAGACAGACAGTCAGAAGTACAGTCCAGAATCCGTGTTAGTACCAGTAAAACTGCAACCAGACAGACAGTATCAGTTCAGACACTGCACCAGGCAGTTAGTACACATTCAGGAAACTGCACCAGGCAGCCTGTTGGTATCAGATTGTGTTCAGTAACACAGAAAGTTCAGATTTGTGTCGTTTCAGAATATTGCAATCAAACAAATTATATTCATTATCAACCCGGAACTAGTATCCACAGTACAAGCATCGACCCGGTGTAACTTACCCCTTCAAACCGCAATTATTGAGTGTGTTAGGGTGTGTGTGTGTAGCACTTCGCCTTCCTTAGCATAGTTAATACCTTTCAGTTTTCTGTGAGTATTAATGTTATCACATATGATATAATCTGACACTAATCAGGGCTTTGTATTATGTTGAACACCATATAATGCATCAACTTGACAAAAAATGTCAAATAAAAACCTGCTACATGCATTCAATAGTCCAGATACAATGTAGGCACTGTGCCATGAGTAATTGGTGAGAAACTTAGATAGTCATAAGGAAAGAAGCTAGAGTTGGGTATATATAACCTTAGCCAAAGCTGGGGCTTAAGGTCACAGCTGAGGCTGCTTAAATACATGTTTGAGTATACTAATAATAGAACTACAATACAAGGGTGTTAGATAGGCACTGAAGATAAGATAAGATAAAAGGAAAAGCATAATAAACTGCAACATAGAGTCTTTGATTTATTGGTTACTCCTGTGATCTGAGTGGCAAGTGATACTGTTATTTCTGTGGCTCAAAACTGAAAACAGCTACAGGGGTTCTGGAAGGTGTGGTGCTATACTGCTTCTAGAGAGGACTTGCAGCTTTGCTACATATTCTCTTTGGAAGTGAAATGGCCAAAGGTATGCTTCATCATCAGGTTAATTCAGATACTCTGAGTAAGTGTTATTCCAATGCAGTGCAAACTCTTGATTTAGTTGGGGCTGTCATGGAAGGAGTGACTGAGCAGGCTTGAGAAACCACCTATACAAATGCTCCAGCATTGCACAGAAGGTATGCCTTGATTCTCTCTATTATGTTCATGGTCTAATGTTTTGCCAGTAAAAACACTAAATATATGAAGTGTCTGTCATTGGAAGATACTGTCAAGTCCCATCCTCATCTTTAATCACTTTATACAGTCTAGAAGTTCCTAGTGAAGCATATTAAAGCCTCATCTGTAGACTGGACTCTTATCTTGGCAAGTAAAACTTATTATAGGGTATTGTGCAGCATCTAACATTTTATATTAGCCAACTCTGGTTGGTATTTGGAAAAAGAATGAGGAGATGTATTTCATTAAAGATGTTTGCCTGAGCATGATTGTGGACCATTTGACAGTCACTGATACTGATATCAAGAATGATTTCACTGCTGATGTCCCTGAAGATCACAATGAACACATATGCATTTGTGGAGATGTATACAAGCATGTTCAAGGGCAATACACTCAGCTACTTTGTTCTGTTTGTGGTGACCACTACCAGCAAAGGATTTCAGCAACTTATACAGAAGATCTCAAAGGCAAGAGTCTTATGACATATGAATCCCACCAAGAAGAGACTAACAAGCCTATTAGTCTTCCCTCCATTTTTGTCACTATGCTTCAGGAGGAGTCAAAACAAGAAAGTGAGATTGCAAGAGAGAGAGAAGAGGCAGCAGCAAAAGAGTTGACAGAGAAGATAGATCTGAAATGTGATCCCAACAGCATTGTGGAGGTGTCTTCTGGAGAGATGACATTAGAGTAATCAGCTAGAAGACTGGGCATTCTCAGGTGAGTTACAAATTTTTCTATTTTACACTTTTATTGATTTCTTTTGAAAATTGTGGGTCAATCATGAGGCAGAGAACCATAGAAGACAATAATGTCCTATTTGTATTAGTGATACTTTCTTGGAAGATTCATTGCACTTCCAGTTCTACAAAAGTACTGCTAGATATCAAGAACATTATGATGTAAATCATCATCAGAACAAGAGGGTCTCACAGTGCTGCTTTTTAGAATAGAAGGAAGAGGGAATATAACAGTGAAATAAACCAGGAGCTAGATCATTTTTTTTTGAATACTTCACTAGAACAAATACTTCTTCATAATTGTCATATGTTGCTAAGAACTTGATATAATTAGATGTTTCAAACATTTGATTGGAAAATATATTAAAGTTGTACTTAAATCCTCTTAAAATACTGGTCCAACTTTACCATCTCTGGAAAGTTAATGTCTACATTCAAACTGTCTTCTCTGGCCTTCTTCATGATCTGGATCCCAAGCTCAGATGACTGAAACTGTCAAGCACCAACTTGGATCGGCAAGGTCAAGCCTTAGTTTGTCACTCGCACTTTGGTGAAGTGAAACAAAGGTAGCGATGCAGACCGAGTTAAGTAGTCAGGACTGAATCAGTCACGGAACTTGGAGTTCAGGTAAAAGTTGAGAGTATATGACTTTAGCTGAAGCTGAGGTTTAACCACAGTGCAGGCTACTACTTAAATACAAGTTTGGTGCATTAATAATAACTGTACTACTATGGTTCCATGATAGAGAACAAGTGCGATATAGCCAATGGCAATATGCCAGTGCAAGAACTACCCAATGGTGAGTGGCCAGCTAGACGAGGAAGACTCTGGGGGAACTGTGCCCTTGTGGCCAAGACTCTGCCTGAGTAAGAATGTCTGAGCTCGTCCACTGTGAACCAGGGATCAAGTGATGCAGAAGCGACTGTTGATTGATCGGAGCAAAGATACCATGATGGAAGTTATTGTGTGATGCGAGAGTATCAGCATGGGTTACGGATGAGCCGGATGGAAGTGATGATGAGAATAAGATGACGATTGAGGAAGAATGACATGAAGCAAATGACTAAAGCAAAAAATAGGGGTGAATTTGTGACAAACTCTTAGCACTATTTCTATCTTGTTTTCTCCCTCAATGAAAATGCCTGTGCCTGCCCTTGCATTTGCCATCCCATTGTGAATGCAGGAGCCATCAGTTGCAGCAGTTATCACTTCACCATTTGGAGGGAACATTCTCATGTCTGGTAAGATATTGCATGTTTTGTCTTCTGTGAATATTCAGAACATGTCAGCTAATGTGCCATGGGTTGTGATTCTTTGATCAAATTTGTAGCCTTCTTCAAGAATTTGGGGAGCCTCCTCATAATCTTCCAGGAGCATAAATCTAGGGTCCCACTTTGGAGGCAGAGTGTCCATCAGTTCCTTCACTCATAGGATACATGCATTTGGGCAGATGCATCTCAGGTTCTCTGACATTGCAGTGCAGATGAAGCACTGACATCTTGGGCCTCATTTGGAGCATGAGTAGTTAGGGTCATCAATGAGGTAGAAGATTTCTTCTGCTTCCCCTACCAGATGTAGCTTATGGTTCTCATGAAGGCAGGTACTCGTCGCTGATTGAGTCAGGAGGTGGATTCTAGGGTCCACTTCTGAGTGGAACCAGATAGGTCGGTAATGCAGTATTTTCCTGGAGAAGGCTATGCCTTCTGCTCAAATGCCTGTCTTCTTTGCAATATCATATATTCTTTGAATGTCACAAGGTAGCTCAGATCTTTTTGCTCCAAATGATTGAAGGAAGATATTCAGTTTTACTCCAGGGCTGATGTTTTTTTCTGTGTTTAATGCTGCACAGGCAAGGATATCATGCACAAAATAAGCCCAGGTAGGTTGTTTCCTGGCAAGTAGTGATTTGACCCACATCGCTTCTATTGCTTTGTTCCAAGCATGGAGATCAAGTATGTCTAGGCCTCCTTGGCTCCTTGAGGCCTTCAATGTCTCAAAATCAACTAGGTTTTTTGTTTTTCCTTCCCAAATGAACTTCCATACTTGTTTCTTGAGTTTGTTCTTTACATGTTTTAGCATGCCCTGCACCACAGTAAGGTACTGGCATGGGCTCCAGTCCTAGAGAAGATTGATAAGAACCTTGACTGCTGGAAATTGCCACATTCTTCAGTCCCCGGTCACCGAATCATAATTCAAACAGTCATTGGCAGCCTCACCCATGTCTTCTGGGATGTTATTTCCAAACCATGCACCCAGAATTTGGATGACCTCTTTTTCTTTAACAATGTGGATGTTTCTCAGTATTTCATTAAAGTTATCCTTTGCTTTCCAGCAGGTGCTTAGCTTCAGACAAAAATCTTTGCTACTGATCGGGATGATTTGGGTTTTCATAACGTTGAAACAGGCTCCACTAGCAAGGCACCAGGTATCCAGTAGGCACATGAGGTCATTGAAGTCATCATTCTCATCAAGGAAGGTGGTTGTGTTATCTGCAAAAAGGTTGGCGATCAGTCTTTCTTCTGACCCTGGGACTGTCAGACCTTTTAGATCTGAGCATCTTAGCATCTCAGCCAGAGGCTCGATAGTGAGATTCAATAGGAGGCAGGACAGGGGGTCTCCTTGACATACCCCTTAGGTGACTTTGAAAGGTGAGCTGAGGTAGCCATTTACCATGACCCTTGTTTGTGCATATTCATATAGAGACTTCACTGTTGCAATGAAAGGGGCTGGAATTTGGAAAGCTTCCAGCACTTTCCATAGATAATCATGACAGATTTTGTCATACGCTTTCTCTTGGTCAAGTGTGACAATCATTCCATTCTTCTGGATGAGGTTAGCATAGTCAAGATCATGCAGATGAGTTTAGTCTGGTTTGTTATCTGTCATCCTGGAATAAATCCAGCCTGGCTTTTATGGATCAATTGTGAGGCTGAGGTGACCAGTTTGATTGATAGGGCCTTTGTGAGTAGTTTATATTCTGAATTTAATAGAGTGATGGGCCAATAGTTTGACATCTTATTTTAGTTGTTCTTTTTGTATATTGGGCACATCCACCCATCCGTGAAACTGGTCAACTTGTCTATACCAAATTCCTCCATATCATTAAAGACTGAGGTCAGTAGACCTGCAATATCAAAGGCTGGCAGGTTCTTTCACTTATCTTCCATGTATCTGTCATTGAGAACTTTAAAGAACTTATTGGTTGCATCATTTATCTCTGGGACAGAGTCATTCTTAGATATCCATAGGGGTTTTACTATCTGATCATGGTCCAGTTTCTTTATAAGGTTTTCCTTATTCTCTTCTGTAGATGATGCCTTTATTTTGTCAAGGATAGTTTGAATCGTGGTGGCTCTTGTTTCCTCGTCGACATCCAAACCTTCATACTGCAGAGTGTTCCCATGGAAGTCTTTCATCATTTCTGCCATTAGTGGTGAATGTTTTTCATATACTGGCTCAGTTTCTAGCAAAGGAGCTGATTCTAATAGGTTATTGGTGCTCCCATTTAGGCTTTCCTAAGTCTGGTTCCTCAGTGGATTGGGAATTTCAAGAGCATGTATAATGTCTCTTGGCTTAGATTCCTTATTCACTTGGAAATAGTATTTCGATACTGTCTCCTCTTCTAAGTGGTTCTTTGCTGTGATGAACCTGCATGAATTTTCATGCCTATCCTGTTTTAGGCTCTTAAGTTCTGACTTAAGTTTGCCCAGTTTATTGGATCTTTCCATGTTGCTCAGTGACTGGTCCTTAGAGGTGGCATCAATGGCTTTGCTGAGGGTTGATTCTTTCAACTGGTTCTGGGCTTTAATTATTTGTTCTCTTTCTTTAGCTTGATTCATTGCCTCTGTGATGAATTTATGATATGTTCTCTGAGGATTCATATCTTGAATTCTACCTGCTCGTCTTATTGTGTCAATTTCCTGTTGAGCGTTCAGTCCAAGTTCCTTGACTTTGATGGACAGTTGATGATCTTTTAGGACAAAATCAGGGCATGCCCACCTGCCCTTTCCAATGAGCGGAGCTTCCTCATAAGCGATTTGCATGGATACCATCTCGTGATCTACTCCTATGATACCAACTGGGTGTATTCTCCACTGTCTAGCATGTTCAAAGAGGTTGTCCATCACATAAATTCAGTCAATATGTGACTGGTATGTGTTTTGGACTATCTCATTTGTATCTGGGGATTGCACACTCTTTGTGCAGCTGAATAAAAAGTATTTTTTGTCTGGGAATGTGCTTTGCCAGCTGTCTCTTAGACTGAGGAGTTGCTTGAGATTGTCAAATGCTGTCAAGACATCAGAATGATCATTATGCATTGGTAAGCGATCAATCACATTTTCCACAAAGTTCATATTGCCCCCCATGTAGTCTGGCCAGCAGTTATAGTTGGCATCAAAAAAGTTGTACAAGGTTTCAAAGAATGTTGTGCTGTCTTTAGCATCACCTCATTTCACATTGAGGCCATATATACCCAGTATTGTAATCTCTTTTTCATGATACCATCTTGTCTTCATTAACAGGACTCTTCCTGGAATAATGACTTTCGTTTTAATGTGGTACCATAGTGTGAGCTGTTTCTTAACTACTATTGCAACTCCTCCTTTTCTTGTTGGATTTTCAGGATCTGCTGTAAAGTGGATTTTCATCCTACACATGAAGAGATTCTCCAGTTCATCCCTTCTATGTTCTGTCAAGTGAGCTTCTGAAACAATCAAAATGCCAGTTCTTAACATCCTAAGGAGTTAGTTTATATGGCTCCATTTACTATTTTGGATGCTTTCACCAGACCCCAAGCAGCCAAACCCATTGATGTTTAGCAAGAGATCATGATGCCTGCTTTGGTTTCCTTTTTGTGATTCACTCTTCTCTCTTGTCTGTTGTTTGGGAATGTGTTATAGGAGGGTACTCTCCTGGGAGTTGCTTAACTGTGGTGGCTGCATAGGCATGTTGCTTGTAGCATTTATAAACCCATTCATTTGAGAGTATGGCTCTCTCACTACTTGGTTCATGGCATGGCCACTCTCGCTGTTTGGGGTCTTGTCTGGGAGGACTTGAGTCATGTGAGTTTGCTGAGAAGCTCAGCTGGTGTCTTTGACATATATGTTGTTGACTCCTACCAATGCAGACTTGCATGGTTTCTCTTGTGCCTGCACATAATGAGGTTTGAGAGGTAGCTGGCATATTCCTATCACTGTCTGGGGGACCATGCAACATTAGGTCAACCACACTATTCTCCAGGAATTCTGATGCTGGTTCCCCACTGTTGCTACTTGCACTACTGTCTTGCATGGAGGGATAACCAGTGGGTATGTCAGAGCCTCGACTGAGTAGAGTGAGACCGATACCGTAACCACCCACAATATTGTTTGCTGTAATTCTATTATCCAAACTGTTAATAGCACTGTTAGTTCACATATGGGATGGCCAAACCACTTGTATGCTAGATGAATCTGCTTGAACGTATCTCCCCTGGTGAGAGGGAAGGCGTAACAAGCAGTGTAGGCTCCATTGGGTCCTGTTTAGAGACAGTTGTATCACCTCTCCCCATTCAGCAGTCCAACTTGCCTCCACTAAGCTGTCAGTAATCAGAACAGGAAGATGCTTTGATGAATGTTAGATGGCTTTAACAGACTTTTCATCTTTTCCAGTCTCACCCCTGGTTCTGCTTTTCTGAGCTTGAGGCTCACCGAGATCAAACAAGTGGAGATAAAGTATCTCTATTGAAAGCAAAAGGTTACATTAAGTGGCATTTAAATGGTAAGCGGACTACTGCTTTTTACCATGCCCGACTACTTTCCAACCATCATTATAGTTCCTTCCATGTTTGGAATAGCCACCTGACTTCTCATTACCCTCCTTTCATTTCTGGCCTGGGTCTTTGGGGGTTTCTGATTTCATCATTCAGAGTCAGAGTTCCTTGGTGGTGAGGCCATACTATGCTGAGTCGACCTCTGGGAAGAGGCAAGCATGGCTCGGATGGCTTTGATTCTTGCACCAGTTGCAGCCAATAATCTTGTCCACATTCAAAAGCTGTTGATAGTTTACATGAACTTTGAGTTGTCGGATGTAGGCTGTGAGTGCCTAATGAAGATCAAGGTCATCGGTGATAGGTTCACCCATGAGCATAAGCACTGGTCCCTTGTCATTATCGAGATTCTTCGTCTCGATGTAGAGGAGATGCCAGGACTGAGTCATCCTGATGGTGAGCTTGACTGGGTTTCTGAAATTCCTCTGTGATTGGGTGATGCATTTGATGAGGTTTTGCAGGGGAATATCATGTCATGCTGCCAGTTTAAGACAGGCCAGGGCTTCAGCTATGAGGAAGGCATTGTTGCAGACAACGTTTTCTTGGAAAGCCACAATAACCCAGGCGAGAGCTTTGGGATTGAAGGGGATGAAGTTTCAAACTATACAAGAGGAGATGGCAAAACTTTGGTGCCACAGCAAGTATCTGATGAAATCTTCAAAAATGCCTGTGATGATGAGCGGCCATGGTTTGTTGAAGGTGCTCTTCCTGTTGTGGCCTTCATCTTTTTTCCTTGCTTTCTTTTCTTCTTTTGATTCTACCAGGTAGAAAGCCATGATAGTGCCTTTGTCTGGGAAGTTGAAACCTTCGAGGAATTCTGTGAGGAGAATGTCGGCACACAGGTTTTCAGAGTAGAATTTGGGTCCAGCGCCATAGGGGATTGCTGCGATGAAGGAGTTCGGGGAGGCCATGATGTCGCTTCAGAGGTCTTCTGGGAAACCTGCAGTGAGGTGGTTCCAGGGTATGTATATCTTGGGGAAGGTGGCATCGGTGAAGGGGGTGGCAGATCCTGCCAGGAGGATAGAGGGTTTTTCACCGGAGCGGGAGAGTTTGTTGTAGAGGAAAGCCTCTTCAGCCATGGGCAGGTTTGCTGTGTTCTGAGGGTCAGATAGTTCATAGGGCATTGTTAGGAAATCAGTGGGCTTGGGAGTTTTTCTTCAAGCTTCTCAGTCCTCATCATTTTCTGACTGGTGCGATTGATGATATGCCTAGTATCAGGCTATCCATAGATTTTGCGATTTTACATCAGTTTATGCAATCTACAAGTAGTACAGAGAGCTACAGTGGAGGCTTCGCGCTGGTAGCTAAATACTACATAAAGAATGAAAGCATGGCAGTACAGAATGGACTTAGAAACGACGTCTCGAAGAGTCAATTCTACCAGCCATCAACATGCCAAGCTAAGCCCCACCTAAACAAGACTATTACAGTCAAATCTCAGGGACTCATCTGTATGGAGTATAAAAACCAAGAAGTTGAAGAATGGAATGAACTAGATGCCTCGTTGCCTCAATGAGTAGAAAGAACCTGTCAAGAAAAATTGCTAAGTCAAGAAACAGATCAGCCTTTGAGATCAACTCAGGCTAGGAAAGGAATAACCTTGGAAGAATGAATAGCCGCGTTGGGTACCGAGATGACTGACCTTGATTGTGCAGTGATCAACAGAATATAATCTTGGACCTGCAGCCGATCACGATCAGTGATTACATCCTTGAGATCCTGTGCAGACCACAGTATTCAATACATACGGCATGCAGCAAGCCTTGCAGACAGAAGAAGGAGCACCCACAGACTAGTAGGGCACTCCTCGGTGACAGAATAACCTGGCGCAGTCGCATCAAACTGAATAGAAACTACGGAATGGCATGATACTTGTAGGATAGTGACTCACCATTTGTATTAATTCCAAAGCTCGTACCATAATTACTGTAGATACGGGCTCCTATACCTAGAACACGAATCATATAAATTAGCAGCGACTAGACACATAACGGCAGGAAAGCATTCCCCCACGTTTGTGCTAGTAGCCTGTATAGCTACCTAATCAATCACTGGTTTTATTGCATATCCTCGACTGAAGTGAATTAAGTTACCAAAGTCAACCCATAAGGGCGACTACAGTAATCTAGAAGAGTTAAGTAGAAAGTAGAGTCGTCCCCACGTTTGTGCCTTGCTAGTTAATTGAACTGCTCCACGGACAAAGGCCTCATGCTCTCTCTCTCCGAGATTAGCGATCTAGACGTGCTGAGTCGACTTTAAGTCAGAAGACCTCATCTAGTTGAAGTAAAATAAGCCCTAGAATGCTTTAAGTTCGAACAATCGTTGAGTTCAAGGAACTCCAGAGTCTGTGTACTCTTTGCAAGTCTTGTACTTGAAGTCAGAACCTGAGCGTTCTTTGTAGAGTGATTTTGCACTCTTTGTAGACCTCGGAGTCTTTGGTTGTTTGATTATTTGAAGTGTTCGCCAGAAGCTCTTCTAGATAACATTGAAACGAGTATAACTTGCTCGACTATACCTTACAAAACAAGTTCATAAAACCCCACTATTGTGGACTAGTGTACTTTGTGTAAAACACATCGAAAGAAGAATTGAAGTTGGTTTCAGACAAAACCCCACTAGATTATCTAAATCTAAGTACATCGCGAGTGCTTCTATCGTACTCACCCTTGAACTTATATACATTGGTGATAGTGTGTGACACACCACAAGCCGGGAGTAGCCAATAAAAAAGCAGACTTACTGAGTCGTAGGGCAGACCACGATCAGGGCAAACAAGACAACAATGACATAGTCATCCTAAAACCTGAATTCTTCTGTGTCTTATTAATGCTCACCGAGGAGGAGATCAATGGAAGGATCACCCTGAGTACGAGCAACCCTCAATTATGGGATAAAGGGATATCTAACTCCCTTAACCATAAAAGAGGAGTTCAACAAAAAGGAAACCTGTTGTACTATGATAGAGGGATCTACATCCCTAGAGACCCTTCCCTTCGAGGAGAACTCATCTCACATGCCCATGATCACATCACTGCTGGACACCCTGGAGTCACCAAAACTCAAGAATTAGTACTCTGAGATCACTGGTGGCCCAGAATACATCAGGATGTAACCAACTATGTGAAAGGATGCAAAGTCTGCCAAAGAACAAAGCCAGATAACCAAAGACACTCCACACCTCTTCACCCCAATGCAATACCCTCATGGCCATGAGAACACATATCAGTCAACTTAATTACTGGATTACCTGACTCGAAAGGCTACAACGCAATCCTAGTAGTTGTCAATCAATTTTCCAAGTACAACATGTTTATCCCATGCACAAAGGAAATCACATCTACAGAATGGGCTAAAATCCTATGAGACGAAATCATTTGCTGTTTTGGAGTTACCTCATCCAAAATAATCTCAGATTATGGTCCACAATTTGTGTCCAAATTCACAAGGGAATTATATGCCCTGATGAATATCCAAGGCAACCCCTCTACTGCTTACCACCTGCAAATGGATAGTCAGACCAAATGAGTCAATCAGGAACTTGAAAAGTACCTAAGAAACTTTGTCAATTTTAAACAAGACAATTGGAGCGAATGGCTATTCATAGCAGCCTATGCTCTGAACAACCAGGAACATAGCTCAACAGGATACTCCCCCTATAAAGTCATCTTCAGACAAAATGGAAAAATCTGACCTGCAGCATCCCAAGCTACTAAAACTCCCTCAGTAGCCACCTTTGTTGAAGGACTACAAAAAACCCAACAGTGGGCAGAGGCGGCTCTAACCAAAACAGCAGAGACAATGAAGTGAGCATATGATAATCACCAACAACCTAGTCAGGACTATCAACCAGGTGACAAAGTATGGCTGGACACAACCAATTTACACCTACCGTGACCAGCCAAAAAGCTGGACAACAAACAAGTGGGACTTTTCGAAATCCAGGCAAAGAAAGGGTCTTCAGCATATGAATTACGATTACCAACAGGGTGGAAAATTCATAACTGATTCAACAAAGTCTATCTAACTCCATACATACCACCTGAATTTCTCAATCAACAACAACCCGAACCTCCACCCTCGGAATTAATCAAAGAAGAAGAAGAGTATGAAATCAAGGAAATACTACAAGACAAGGAGACTGCCATCAGGCAAGGGAAACGATAAGTCCACATCACTGAATATCTTGTCAAATGGAAAGGCTATCCAGTCGAAGAAGCAACATGGGTACCACAAAATCAGCTTGCCAATGCTGAAGAACTTGTACTGGAGTACAAGCAATGCCTAGGAGCTCTCTTAATGGATGCTGAGAATGAAGACTCATACTCAGATGACTCCTACCTATCTTCGGATGGGAGGGGTAATGTCACGAATTCACCCCTATTTTTCGCTTTAGTCATCTGCTTCATGTCATTCTTCCTCGATCATCATCCGATTCTCATCATCACTCCTATCCAGTTCATTCATAACCCATGCCAATACTCCTGCATCACACAATACTTCCATCATGGTATCTTTGTTCTGATCAATCAACAGTCACTTCTGCATCACTTGATCCCTGGTTCGCAGTGGATGAGCTCAGACATTCTTACTCAGGTGGAGTCTCGGCCACAAGGGCATGACTCCTCCAGAACCTTCCTTGTCTAGCTGGCCACTTACCATTGGATAGTCCTTTTGCTGGTGCATTGCCATTGGCCATGTCACACTCATTCTTTATCATGGAACCATAGTAGCACTGTTATTATTAACACACCCAACTTGTATTTAAGTAGTAGCCTACACTGTGGCTAAACCCCAGCTTCGGCTAAGGTTATACACTCCCAACTCTTATCTGAACTCCAAGTTCCACGACTATCTAAGTCCTGTCTACTTAATTCGGTCTGCATCACTACCTTTGTTTCGCTTCACTGAAGTGCGAGTGATGAACTAAGGCTCGACCTTGCCTATCTGAGTTGGCGCTTGACACTTTCTCAGTTGGTTTACCCTGTTGTCTAGGTCAGGAGGGTGTATCTTTGGTTTCATCCTGTTGGCTATCCTCAGTAGCAGATCTATCTTTGTTGGTGACCTCATCTGTCAATGATTCCGACATCTTCTTCTTTGAACTCAATTTCCCCAGTGTCTCCTCGTCAAATTTCATGTCATGAGAGAAATGATATTTGCCTTTCAAATCACAGACCCACAATCCAATCCTGTTCTCTTCATACCTCATGAATATTCTTTCAAACATAAACATCTTCACACCTCCTTTCATGTGCTTCTCCTTCAGTATTGTAACCCAACACCTGCACTCCCATACTCATAAGTGTGAGAGGTCAGGTTTCTTTGAATACATTTGTTCATATAGTGCAGAGTTTTTTGGAATTGAAGAGTTCAGTAGTTGCATATAGAGATAAGCTGTAGTCAAAATTGCATCAGCCAGAAAAGAGGCAGGGAGACCAGAATGAGCAAGTAATGCCAGAGCATGTTTCTTGATAGTTCATATGAAGTGCTTGATCTTGCCATTCTGTTGATGTGCATATGGAACACACAGCTGGCAGTGAATACCTCATTTTTGTAGATACTCACCCATCTCCCCTTCTGTAAATTCAGGCGCATTATTCAAATGAATGAACATGACCAGTGCATGCTGTGAGTGTTTACCTATAAGGCATGAAGGGCATGCTATCTTTGTGTTGGGGCTGTGTGATGTAATCCCCATTACTGCTGTTCCTGTTATGATCTCCATGGTGAGGTCTTGTCCTGGATAGCTAAGACAACAATGCCAGATGTGCCTGGTGGGCTTTACCTGTTGGAAAGGTGTAGGCATCGCCATGGCACATGATGGGGCTTCCTGTTGATGAGCCTCAAGGCTCTGTATGCTCAGAATTCACAGATTTTAGCATTATAATAAATGCCTTGTCCACTTAGCAGGACTTTTCCTAAGTCAATGATTGCAATCATGGCAATACCCACTTTTACCACCAACTATCCATCCCAACTCATATTCCACATCAATATGTGCCACTTCATTATTGCCAGCCAGGCACTTGATTGCAGATCTCATGGAATTAGGAACTATCATTGATTGCTCAGCACAGCCATTGCTGACATCAGCATCAAGCATCACTTAATAGAATGCCACAGCCAAAATACCTATTCCACAGCAAAAGACTTAATACCATGACCTTTCCACTAGCTTTACTAAGGCTGTTACAATGCCAAGACAAATGCTGCACACATCTACTTCAGTGTACTACCTTCAGTGTACTTTGCCGCAGCAACACAGCAGCCCAAGAGTCCTGTATGTCAGTGGAATTCTTTCTGATCACTAAGTCTATACGCTGGTAAAACCTGTGTGGATGCTGTTACTTTAGAACTCTGGGAGCACATGTTTTGTATCATTTCTTACCAATCAATGTACTAAGGACTTACTAAGGACTCGTTTCAAGTATTCTAATTTTATTCTGGACTTGTAGTATAAAAGCTAGTGTAGTAGTAGTTATCAGGAGACACAGGTTACCAGGACACTAGTTATCACAC